CTAGGCCATACTTTCTTGTTGTAAGCACGGGCCATTCTTTGTTGGTACAACTGCCCGTGGCAGACCGTGGCCATTCGCTTTTCATCGATAATGGTTAACTATTATAGACGGGTTTTAACCCACTCACTGTCTTTAATTTCTGCTTCAACGATGATCCGGAGAGAGGTGATTTCAACCTCTGCGGGTATAACGGCTTCAGTGCCATAAACCAAAAGATATGGGGTGGCTCCAATTGACGTGCGCACACTAGTGCGATATCCCAATAATGCAAACGGTAACTTTTCGTGCCACTGCCTGGAAATCTGAATCATCTTTCTCAAAATCTTTTTGATGTTTTTGTTTGCTGCTTTGACGACACCATTGGCTTTGGGCCGATAAGGAGTAGAGTTCTGGTGCGTTATCTTGAATCGTTCACATATATCTCCCATCAAATGACTATTCAAGTTTGCAGCATTGTCTGTGATAATAGTTGCAGGAATGCCAAAACGGTAGATAAGATTAGAGTACACGAAATCTACCACAGCTTTCTTGGTGACGGATTTGAGAGTGATGGCTTCAACCCATTTCGCGAAGTAGTCAATGGCAACTAGTATGAATCTGTGCCCATTTGAGGCTTTCGGCTCGATTGGCCCAATGACGTCCATACCCCAAGTAACAAATAGCCAAGGTGCTGAAATGGGATGCAGTTCTGTGGGAGGTGCATGAATCAAATCACCGTGCACCTGGCATTGATGACACTTCCGGACAACGCTGAAATAGTCCTTGTCCATGGTTATCCAGTAATAGCCCGCTTGAAGGATTTTCTTTGCTAAAACATACCCATTCATGTGGGGTTCGCATACTCCCGTGTGTACCTCATGCATGATCCTTCCAGCCTCTTTTGCGTCAACTCATCTTAACAAGTTGAGGTCCGGAGTTCTCTTGTACAAAACATCGCCACTCAAAAAAAAACCACTTGTGTGCCGCCTAATGGTTCTCTTCTGGTCTCCACTGGCTCGCTCAGGGTATTCTTGCGTTTTCAAAAACCTTTTGATGTCCTGATACCATGGTTGGGTATTTGGTGCTATTTCAACCGTATTACAATAACCATGCCTTTCCCGGATCTGGATTTCCAAGGGGTCAATGTGGGCATTGCCCGGGTATGGTAGCATTGAGGCTAAAGTGGCAAGCGCATCAGCTAGTTCATTGTGGCAATAAGGAATGTACCTGAACTCTATTGACTTGAATCGATTGCCAAGTTCTTCCACATGTTGCCTATAAGGAATAAGCTTGACGTCTCGGGTTTCCCATTCTCCTTGAGCTTGTCGGATAATCAAATCTAAGTCTCCCATGATTAACAGTTCTTCGATATCTTGGTCAATTGCCATGTTTATACCCATAATGCAAGCTTCGTACTCGGCAGTGTTGTTTGTGCAGAAAAACTAGAGCCTAGCTGTGGCCGGGTATTGCCAACCGGTGGGCAAAATCAAGATTGCCCCAATTCCAACACCTTTTGCATTTACCGCTCCATCGAAGAACATTTTCCAAGCGTCGATGTCTTCGGATATTGCCTCAACTGAGTTTACCTCTTCATCCGGGAAGTAAGTATTCAAAGGTTGGTATTCATCATCGACCGGATTTTCAGCCAAGTGATCTGCTAATGCCTGGGCTTTCATTGTCGTGCGAGTGACATATACTATATTAAATTCCATAAGCAGGATCTGCCACTTTGCTAGTCTCCCAGTGGGCATTGGCTTCTGGAATATGTATTTTAAAGGATCCAACCTGGTTATGAGGTAAGTGGTATAGGCTTGAAAATAATGTCTCAACTTCTGAGCGACCCAAGTCAAAGCGCAGCATGTCCTTTCCAACAGAGTATACTTGGCTTCATAACTGGTGAATTTCTTGCTCAGATAGTAAATAGCCTGCTCTCTCTTTCCGGTCACATCGTGTTGCCCGAGGACACAACCAAAAGAATTTTCCAAGACTGTCAGGTACAAAAACAAAGGCCTCTTTGGCTGAGGTGGGACCAAGACTGGCGAATTTGACAGATATTCCTTAATTTTATCAAAAGCTTCTTGACATTCATCTGCCCACTTGAATGTCGCATCTTTCTTCAGCAATTTGAATATGGGTTCACATGTGGAAGTTAACTGGGCAATGAACCGGTTGATGTAGTTCAATCTACCCAACAAACTCATAACATCCTTCTTGGTTTTCGGAGGAGGCAAATCTCGAATAGACTTTATCTTTGTTGGGTCTAACTCGATGCCCCTCCGACTGACGATGAATCCCAAGAGTTTACCGGATGGCACCCCAAATGCACATTTGGCTGGGTTCAACTTCAAATCATATTTGCACAGCCGCTTAAAAAAACTTTCTCAAGTCCTGAGCATGGTCGTCCTGAGTTTTGGATTTGATGATTACATCGTCCACATACACCTCTATCTCCTGGTGCATCATATCATAAAAAATGGTTGTCATGGACCTCATATAGGTTGCCCCAGCGTTCTTGAGACCAAATGGCATGACCCTATAACAGTATGTACCACAAGGTGTGGTAAAAGTTGTCTTCTATGCATCTTCTTCATCCATCAACACCTGATGATATCCCGCGTAACAATCCATGAAGGACTGTATCTCATGCTTGGCGCAGTTATCAACAAGGATGTGGATATTCGGCAAAGGGAAGTTATCTTTAGGACTTGCCTTGTTTAAATCTCTATAATCCACACATACTCGGGTCTTCCCGTCTTTCTTTGGCACTGTGACTACATTAGCTAACCATGTGGTTTACCGGACCACTCAGATCAGCCCCTCTTTCAACTGCTTCATGACCTCTTCTTTGATCTTGTCATTGATATTAGTTTTAAACTTTCTTTGCTTTTGCTAGACTGGGGGACAGTTTGGGTAAGTAGGCAACTTATGAACCACCAAATCAACACTCAGTCCCGACATGTCGTCATATGACCAAGCAAACACATCTTTGAACTCAAACAAGAGTTGGATTAAGGCGTCTCGAGTTTTTTCATCTGCGTGGATGTATATCTTGGTTTCCCTGATTTCTTCAGAACTACCCAAATTAACCGGTTCAGTATCATTTAAGTTCGGCTTAGGTTTATTCTCAAATTGTTCCAATTCTCGATTTATTTCCCTAAAAGCCTCTTCTTCATCGTACTCCGGTTCTTAGTTCATCATTTCATGGTTAAACAGTGTGTTCGGATCTGGGCATGAAGTCCGCAAGCATGTCATATTATTTAAAGCCGCATTGTTAGAACTGAAAGAAGAAACAAAAGGGAAAAATAATAAAAATCAGAAAGAATAAAGAAAGATTAATGATGAAATATTGATTTCATTTCTTGGAATTTGAAGATAAAGGGTTTACATTGGAAAATTAAAAGACAAGAAACTAAAGAAAACATCTGAGTTACACCCTGAAATAACTTGCGATGCAGAAAAGGTGGCAGGATAGGTCTACCGGGACTCCCGCCTAATTGGGAATGGTGTAACCTTCCAATTTTATAGCTTGGTGGCAGGTCCCATATACAGCACCTCAGCGGTGCTTGAGCCCTCCCCTGGCTGGACCATGTGGGTTTTATATAGTATCTTCCTCATTGCCCCACAGATCTCTTCAATCTCCTCGGCCGTGAAGGCCTCATATTCTTCTTCCTCATGGTGTTTTGGCTTGACAAATGTTCTGTACAGATGCGGCACCGGTTGAGGCAAGATCCAACCATCCTTGTTTCTATCATTTGCCCATTTTACATCAGCTGGAGTAGGTCGGAAGCCTATCCCAAAGAACTTTTCACTGGCGGTCAAGGTGACAGGTTCAGTTATCCCTTGTAAGGATTTCCCGAGCCCTTTCCCAGGTTTGTAGCCATGCCTGATCAGTTCTTTGGCCACCATGATTGATGCATTAAAAAGGAAGGGTTGAGGACAAGGTTTTCCTTCTTCGTATTGATCAGCGACCACGATTTCAAAGGCCTAATAGACTATGTGCTCACTTCCTTCTCTTGCGTCAAGACACGGGACTGACGGGTCCCGATAAATTGATTGCTCATCTTCCCCGTGAACCACAATCTCCTGATCCTCATGTTCGAACTTTACCATCTGGTAGAGTGTAGAAGGCATAGCCCCCGCTGCGTGAATTCACGGCCTTCCTAAGAGAAAATTGTAGGACGTGTCCATATCTAGAACCTAGAAGGTTACTTCAAAGTCTACTGGGCCGATGGTCAGAATCATATCAATCTCTCCAATTGTGTCCCTTTTGATACCATCGAAGGCACGTACACAAACGTTGTTGGGTCGGATTCTCTCGGTACCAATTTCCATACGCTGAAAAGTTGAGAGTGGGCAAATGTCTACCCCAGAACCTCTGTCCAACATAACCCTTTTCAAATAGTACCCCTCGCATTTGACTGTCAGGTACAAGGCTTTGTTATGTGCGGCCCCTTCTGGGGGCAAGTCATTTTTGCTGAAGGAGATCTGGTTAATTGCAAAAAATCTTTCGGCTGTTCTCTCCAACTGCTCTACAGAAGTTTCAACTGGCACATATGCTTCGTTAAGGGTCTTGATCAATACCTTTTGATGTTCGGTGGAATTCATCAACAGAGATAACAAGGAGACTTGTGCGAGAAATTTTCAAAGCTGGTCAATCACCTCATAATCTGCCGTTTTCATCTTTTGAAAGAAGGCCTCCGTTTCTTCGGCACTTACGGGCTTCTTAGATGGGAAGTACTTTCTAATAGTATTGTTCACCTCTTCCAAATTGAAATACTTTTCAGCCGGGTTATTTTCTTGAACTTCTCCCGAGATTTCCTTGCCTTTGTAAGTCACCACTAATTTGTTGTAGTTCCAGGGCACAGCGGTAGGATCCGTCATGGGCTTTTGTGGTGCGCGGCCAATAACCACAGGCTCACTCGGCCTTGGTAGATTAATTGGCCCCCGCATCACATAAGCTCCTTTGGGCACATACATTTGGGTTGTCTTATTCAGTTCGAATCTCCTGGGAGGACTCAAAGCTATCTGCTTTTCTTTGCGGCCTCGAGGGACATAGAGAACAACATCTTTGGGAGGCATTGCCCCAATTTCCACTTCAACTTTCTTTTCTGACTTTGGAGGGGTGGTTTTGTTCTTTTCTCCCCTTTGTCCTGCTTCGGGGCAGTTTTTGGTTTCTTTTGTACATCAGCGATGGCAATGATGGCCTTCAATGCTGGGTCAAATTCCTTTTCCTCACAAATCATTCCGATTACTGGCCCGTAGTTGTGGGCCGGCAGTGGGTTGTTACTCACATTGGGAATATCTTCATCCCTTAGCACGATCTTCCTTTGTTCTATCAAGTTTTCCACAGCTCTCTTTAGAGTCCAACAGTCATCCGTGTCGAGCCCTTCTGCCCTTGAGTGATAGGCGCATCGGGTACCGGCTCTGTAAGCGGGTGATGCTAGGTTTTGCCTGGTTTGAGGAACAGGCTGTAGCAGACCTATTTGAGCAAGCTTTGGTAACAGGCTGGAGTATTGTTCGCCAATTGGTGTAAAATTTGGCCACTTGGGTGGTTCATGAGGGTGGAAATTATTTTGTGGAGGCCGGGGGTTGTAGTGGTTTTGGTAAGGAGGCTGGTTTCTAGGAAATGGAGCTTGGTTCTGGTTGGCTTGTTGTTGTGGCCGGACATAAGGTTGAGCATTCATGACCGGGTATGGCTGAGGAGCATAGGCTACGTCTTGGTGGGGGTAGTAGTGTTGCGGGGTCCTTTCTGAGAAAAAAGATCTGGGAGTACGATGTTTTCTTGCACCCAATGCTGCCATAGATGTTTCTTCCTTTTTCTTTCCCTTCGCCATTCCTCCAGGCCCACCCTGAATGGCTTGGGAGGTAGCTCTGATGGCGGATTGGCTTAGAATTTGGCCCATTTTCAACCCATTTTCAACCATTTCGCCAATATTGATGGCTTCAGCAAACGGTTTACCCATTGCGGACATCATATTTTGGAAGTAGCCAGCTTCTTGTGCCTGGAGGAAAACTGTGACCATTTCAACCTCATCCATCGGAGGCTTTACCCTAGATTCCTACTCACGCCATTTAACTGCGTACTCCCGGAAGCTTTCCGAGGATTTCTTTTTCAAGTTTGTCAATGAGTTCCTATCTGGAGCGATATCAATGTTGTACTGGAACTGCCTGATGAAGTCTCTAGCAAGATCATCCCAGATGTGCCAGCGGGATATATCCTGGTCCATGTACCACTTAGATGCGATGCCAACCAGACTTTATCCGAAATAGGCCATGAGTAATTCTTCCTTTCCATCGGCTCCTCGCAGTTGGTTGCAATATCTCTTGAGGTGAGCAATAGGATCACCGTGTCCATCATACTTCTTAAATTTTGGGGTTTTGAATCCCAATGGTAGGTTCACATGGGGGAACATGCACAAGTCGGCATAGGATACACTTTTTTGTCCACTCAGGCCTTGTATGCTTTTGAGACTCTATTACATACTCCTCATCTTCCTCACAATATCTTCTTGCTTAGGAGTTTTGGTGGTCTTTTCTTGCCCCGCAGTGAACTCAAATTGAGGTGGCTAAGGATAAGTAAAAGTGGGAAACTGAGGAGGTCCCATCTGAAAGGTGGGTGTTTGGAAGGTGAAGGCTGAGGGGTCAAAACTGGGCCTAGGCAGTGTAGGCTGTGTTGTGGCTGAGCATGGGGGAGAGGTGAAGATGTTTGAAGGTGCACCGGATATGAACACTTGGGGGCGAACCTTAGAAGTTGTTCCCATAAAATGAGCTGAGATATTTGGATGTCCTAGTGGGGTATTTGGGTGACTGATTTGAACATTGAAAGTACCACCTGATCTAGGAAAAAGCTCGGGGAATCCTAGAATTGCGCATGGTGGCTCTCTTCCGATTTCCCAAGCATCCCACATTTCCATAACCCGAAGACACAGGATTCTGTTTTCTTCGGCAGCTGTCGATTCTGAGGTCGGGATGCCCGAGATTGGGTTGTCATCCATGATGGGAATTGTAGGTAGAGTCATTTCTAAAGACATTCTGATGCTCCCCTTCGATCTAGTAAAGTACGGGTGCGAAGCCAGGTTACCACGAAAACCAACAACTGTTCTATAAACACCCTGGACTAAGAGTAATAGCAGCAAACGGTTAATTTGACACAAATAACAGATAGGTAAATGCACGTTGGGAGTGATGCGCCTAAAGGTGTTTCTACATGTTTTGCGACGGTTGCATGCTTCATCCCAACTTTACTTATTTTTTCCCGTTTTTCTTCTTTCCATTTCCGCTCTCTTTTTTTCATCTCTCTTTTGCTTTTATCATAATTTTTCTTCTTTTGGTTATTCTTTCTCTTTTTTCGGGTTATGATCGAATCCTATGTACATTGCCTACTTATCATGACCCCGCATGAATCAGACCAAGCGTAGTTCTGGGGGACGATAAAATGTAAAACTAAATAACAAAATATTTTGGGATTTTCAATTTTTCTCATAAAAGGGAAATACTATGGATTACAACGATTCAAAACTAAAAGGAAAATAACAGACTCCAACAACAAAATGACAATACAGACTCAAGAACTGACTAACAGAATCGAAAATAAACTAACAGACTCCAATAGAAAAGAAAGACACATACTCAAGTAAAAAATCAAGAATACATTAATTCTCTTGGTGCCCACGGGACATCATTCGGTCTCACCGCGGGCCTAAATGCGAGATCCCCTTGCAGTCGCTCCAAATAACTCATAACTTGGCGGACAAAAGTCATCACTATAGCGAAAAAGGTGGTACGAGTCATGTCCTCGCACGCTTGGTATTTCATGGTAATGTATTCAGCGATGGTTCTGATCCTTTCTCTAATTCTGCCTTTTTCCTGAAGCAACCGCCCTATCGTCTGATTCCGGGCTTCTAACACTTGAGAGTTATGAAGGTGTTGATCTTGCAACTGTTGCATTCCTTCCTCCATTTGAGCCACCAAATCATAACAGTATTCCCTATCAGCTTTGAAATCTTTAGCCTGCTTGGTTGCCTCATTATCTAGAGTGGTTACCTTTCTTCTTAGGCTAGTGATGGTCCCTTCATAGTTCCTCTTCATTTGTTGCACAACTTGTGCCCGCTCTTCTGCCTTCTTTGTCCATTGTTCCCGAATTTTCGCTAGACTGCCTTCAGACTTTTCCAGGTCTTCTTGACACTCAAGGACTTTCTTTTTCAGACCACTTATAAGTCTTTCATCAGCCCGGCTTCTTTCCAGGTTTCTAGCAGCTATTTTCATCTTTTGGATCTGAGCTTTGAGGGCCTCATTCTCCTGAGTTAGTTTTTTCTTTTCTCCCTCGTCTGCAGCGGCTTGAACACCATTTTCAAACTGAAGCTCCCTGACTCGCCATTCCAACTGGCTTATTTTGGACCTGTACTCGTTTTCTTTGGTCAACTAGTCCCATTGCACATGTGCCCCATCGGTGAACTGTTGGACATGGGGTCTCTTTGCGGGCCTTTCAGGAATCTTGAATCTTTTGCCGAACCAGACAATGTACTTAGTGTCCACTTCACCTCTATCTAGATTTGGCACCATGGTCTTAGGTTCAAGTAATCTACATTCATTCCACACTTGGCGAATTTTCCCTTCTGGAAATGCGGCTTTTGGGCCCAATTCAATGATATGTTTACTCAAATCTTCATCATTAGGGACGATTTGAAATCTTCCTAATTGGTGCAAAACCTTGTGTGGAGCATAAGGCTGGATGCTCTGGATGCCCATCAAGAGGAGATAACACACTTCAGCTGACATGTACACTACTTCGGTGGCAGGAAGTCATCCGAATCCCCACTCAATTTTATCTTCAGTCAAGGATCTCAAATGTGCAAGCCAAGCTTCAGTACTCTCGGGGAATTCAATACCTGCCACTCGGCTTTCAAATTCTTCAATGCAGCTCAGATCGGTCAAACCGTAATTCATATACCCAACCCGGTGGCAAAGATGTTCTTGCATCCATAATTCTAGTAACAGATTGCAACCTTGGAAGAACTTTCCTCTTTCCCGACAGATAGTCAAGGCTCGGTAGATTTCAGATAAGATTAGAGGAACCACAGTGTTGTTGGTTTTCTTGTTTGCAATATCGATCATTCCCACAAGACCTATCTCTATATTACCATCTTTTCGCTAACAAACTACAACACCCAAGAAGGCCACCATAAAAGCTAAACCCCGCCTTGCCTCCCATTTGTCTTTATTTACGGCATGGGTTAGACCAGTGTTCGGCTCTTCAAAACCCTGGGGGTTACCATATCGATGATACAAGAACTGGAGTGTGCAATACCCTTCAGATAAATTTCCGTCCCGAATATCCCAACTAATACTCAGCAAATCCAAAAATCTGTGGGGGGATACCGGTCTTGGTGCCAATGGATCGACTCCTAAAGTTTCTATTAAGGCCCTCATAACCTGCAATTTCCTCCAATGTAAGTGTGAGCTCAAAGTCAGAGAAGTGGAACACATTGCGAGTAGGGTCCCAAAAAGGTATTAAAGCTTCAATTATGTTCAACCTTGGCTTGATGTTCAATAGTCCGACGAGGCCTCCCAGAACTCTTACCACTATTTCTCTACTGCCTTTTCCTAGATCATTCCACCACATGTGGAGCTGTAAGGAGATCTCTTTAAGGACTGTGAAGGGTTCAATTTCATTTGCGCTCATCCTGCACATTTATTAAGGTGTTTTAGTCACTCATTGTGACCCAAAAGTGATAACATTTTTTTCAAAAATTTTACTTTGAAAATAAAACCCAGTTTTGCAGATACGTCCTTTCAACACTTCGAGGAAGAAGATTTTAAGGTTGTACCTGCTAACCGTACAAAAATGACCAAAAGGGGCTATTCTTGCAAAAACAACCTTCCGGCATCTTTTTCGAGGATATTCGACTTATTTTAAGTAAGAACGGCATCACCTTGCTTATTGTGACAAAAATAAAATTTTGTTGTTTTTGGGCTATTTTTGCAAAAAAAAGGAAGTTGGACCCGATGGGGGTTGCCTACGTATCCAACATTCGGTGAGAATCAAACTGACGTAGCTCAGGCAGATTGGATGAAAATAAACCAATTATTTTTCAAACAGAAAATTTTTGTCAAATTCCGAGCCCTCACATTGATTTTCCTTTTTTTCAAATTTTCTCCTATTATTCATAAGCCGGTCAACATGCAAATCCGAAGCAAATAAATGCACAAGTAGCAAGTAGGATGCATCAGGATGCTCTTTTCATTTCGGGTACACCTATACTAGACAGACCCAACCCCTGTGTTGAGTCTCCTAAGTCAAATGCACGTGATGCAAACAAACGTTCCTACTAGGGATCCGGCATGAGGCTTTGTTATACTAGGTTTAAAACCTAGGTTTATTGTTCTAGACCTGGCTTACCCGAGCGGACAACTCGAGCCGAGTGGGGGCAGCGTACCAGGAATACAGAAGCTTCACCGGCTTAGCAACTTGTCCGAACCTTGTTCTAAAATGGGAAAAGACTCTAGACAGAAGAGAAGCCACACGAAGTGCACTCTTCTCCATGATTTAGAAAACTCAGAGAGAGGAAGGGTTTCGTAGCAGTTTATATACAATTCACAGAATATCGAAGCGGTAAAGCATTTAGCACATTAGGTTCAAAACATGTAAGAAAATCAGATAACAGATAAAGCTAATCACGACAGCTATTCTAAGCTCGAATTCTTGAACCCTGAACCAGAGATTCTGGGTTCGTTCCCCAGCGGAGTCGCCAGAGCTGTCACACCTCCTTTTTACATACCCGAGGGGGGTATAAGGGAGTTTTTCCAATTTAAGTGATATTATTCGAAATGGGAT